TGCCATGGCCGCCCTTTCGGGGGCCCGCCCGCCGCGTTTGCGGACCAGGGTCTTCGCGGGAGAAAGGCCCAAAAGACCCGGGCGGTCGCAAGCAAGGGCGACGCTGAAGAGGGTGCGCCTCGCCGTCCGGGCGTTCTTTCCAGCCAAACCGACGCGGCGCCCCGGCCGCCCGTCCCGCCAACCCCACCAGGACTTTCGTTTTTTTTGCTGAGTGGCTTTGGCACCGCGGCCAATGCTCTACGCACGCGGTTTCAGGAACCTGGCGCGGGAATTTTGAGTGGTGTTAATTCTTTTTGTTGCGTGGGTAAGCGTTGTTGTTGTTTGTTTTCTTTTCCCGTCAACTGCCTTATTTTATGCGTCCATCTTGTTATTCGTTTTTTTTTTGCAAGGAAGCAGAAAGGTAGACATGTTGCGAAGATGTCGGTGTTTAGGAATGAAATACGCAGATTTGGAACTGACCACGAGAGGTGAATTTCCTCACGGAATGAAAGAGCCTGGATTCGTGAAGAAGTTGGACCAAAATATTCCGTGGTATTTTTCCACATACCGCTCAATGTACCACTGGCCTATTACCGGCGATAATTGGAGCGACCTAAATGAAGCAGAGAAACACCATGATCTCCACATGTTCTATACTTTGGCGTGGTGGAAATTAGGTGAGGGTATTTTTGACGCAAATGACGAGGATAGGTAGTCAAAAAAATTTGCTCTGATTCTGATCTAGTCCGAAGAAGGAAAGTTACTTTGCCATGAAGTTTATCATTATTATTCACTTATTTACTGGAAACCCCAAAATGAAGAAATACTCAATATTATATATATATATCCTTTTTATTATTTTCATTCTTACATTTTTAGCTGCATAGTTATAGGTAGTATCTAATTTATTGTTTTTTTTCTTTTTTTAGTGCCACAGCAATGTTACGACGATGCGTGAGAACCTTATATCGTTACCAGGAGTTTGAAATGTCCAAGTGTGCAAAATATCCCTTTAATTATGCTAGGGAAGCCCCCAATACATCAGTGTTTCCTCAATATCAGTTGAACTTTTGGATGTTCTGGGGATGGGGCAGGCAGGAATTATGGATAGATCGTGATACTAGGAAGTACGAGACAACATGGGAAATGTTCCGGCGTTTACTTTTGTGGTTTTTCCCATGTTACTTCATCTTCCCATTTGGCCTGCCCAAGTGGATTGCAACCCAATATCATGGCGAATATGGTGAAAAACCTTTCCTAGATTTTAATATGCATTTTCCGATGGATAATCATTATATTGAATGGGGAGGCAGTGTACTCGACGCTGAGTGGTTGCGGCACATACACTCAAAGGAGTCTTATTGACTGTCAGACTTTTATATATGTGTTGGGTTTTTTATTCCGTTGAGTTTTTTGATTTGTTTTTGGGGTTCTATTTTTTTTCTTGGGTATCACGTCAATGGGTCTCATTCATTATTAGGAGTAGCACAAAAGTTTTTTTTTGGTTATAGTAGTAGTGATGCCAGTACGTGTTATGCCTATCTAGCTTGTTTTTAGTGAATAGCGCGGATTTCTGCTTGCAAGAAGCAAATGAAGTACTTTAATAGATGCCTCTGTAAAGAGATGTTCAGTAATTGTATTTCTGCGATGTGCTTCCATTTGTGCCGCTTTTCTCTGCAACAACGGCAAGGAAAAACAAAAAAAAGTAAAAATATAAACTGAAAAAGAAAAGAAATCCCGAACTTTTTGTTTCTTGTTCTACATTTTTTCTTTCTTGGGTGTGTTTGGTGCATTATAGGGTCTGAATAGTATGAGGTCTATTTGCTGCTTTTCTATTCTAAGTCCAATCCAAGTTAGAGCGCATGCAACATATGACGCAGCTCCGTTAAGTCACAGGCAACTTTTTTCGCTCTATAAGAATTGGGGCAAAAGAGGTAACGAGCTGGATCTATTGGAGGAAGTAGAGGAAAGAATTTCTAAATGGAAGCTTAATAAATGGGAAATGCGGATTCCTCCTCTTCTCTCAGCACGCGAAAAGGAGGTAATGCGTCAACAACAAGAACTGCTTAAGAGCATATTCTTTAACTGGAGAAAATGTAAAGACGCCTTAAATGTGGATCTCGAGCTGATTTCCTCCATTACCGGTTTACCAAAGGTGGCAGTCAGAGAGAAGAATCGCGCATGGCTTCAAGAAGAGGCGTCAAAACTGCGTTGGGTAGGAGAAGTCAACAAGGCAGCACAATTGCGTGATGCTTTTTTGCGTTTAGAAGTTTATGGATCAAGGGACCATATGCTTTTACAGCGACTATGCTGCATTTACGGCTTGGGCTTACAGGGCTCATTTGAGAATGCCTTCTCCAACTACATTGTGGAAGATCCTACCAATAAAAAAATATATATTGATGAGTCAAATGCATTTCGTGATCTTATAGGCCATATTATTAATACATACCCCCAAATAGATATCATTTATGATTTTCTTGGCTTCAACCTTGTTGAGGGATATCGTTCATCCTTGCGTCGATACCTTCAATGTATGATTTCTCGATCAGCACATGAGACGACAACAACAGCAACCGGTCGTTTATTTTTTGGAATAGGAAAGCCTGAAGAAATTCTTTTTGATTTTGCTAATAGCAAGGAGTCTTTGGTTTCTGGTGATTGCGTACAGGGCTTTCCGGATTTTGTTTTTGTGATGGGAGCCGATATTACTCTTATTCTGATTGCATCGGATAATTTTTGGCTTCGCAACCGTCAGTTGCCCCACAGGAAGCAAATGGAGGGTATTGCACGGCGTGCCAGTTTTGTCTTGGGTATTCCATTTTCGGACGTGCGTGTTCGAAATCTCCTTTTGCCTCCGAGTTACCTTGACAAGAACTCTATTTGTAGGATCAATGAGGTGGTTCTTGGATTAACAAGTGAGGAGCAGCGTAATTTGGCTCCTTGGCTGGACATGTATCAGAAGGAGTTAGATCCCAAAGATGTTGATTTTTCTGCTCTTATGAAATCAACAAATGAGGAGGAATGGCTTACATTGTAAATGTATACTGAGACGATTCGCTGTATCGAAAATGATTTTTTTTCCCCCGACATAAATAGACAGCCTGAGCAGTCATATTAAAAGAAAAGATGAAGTACACGTGTTGTTGTTTGCTTTAAAAAAAAAACAACATGTCCTTTTCTTCTTTTAGAAAAACGAAATATGAAGTTGAAATTGGTGGTTTGGAGAAAATATCCATTATCATTCTGTTGTACTTCTTCAAAATAATAATAATAATAAGTCTGGCATTTCTATTTTTATTTACTTTTTCTTCTAATTCTCTTCATATGCATATGTTGGTGATTTTCGTGTCGTTTTTTTTTTTTATGTATGAAGTCCATGCCATCAACGCAGCACACCTGTGTAACAAGGGTGCACTTGTTTCTTTACCTATCAGAGACTTCTCAATATCAGGAATATGGATCCGTTGGCTGCGCCATAGTTGGCGCCTTGGATAACCCGCCGCTGTACAAATTGGGTTGCTACAATGAGAAAAACGAATACGTATGTACGGCAAATATTACCACAAATAACGAAACGGGTGCCTGTATCGCATTGCAACCAGGAGGCTATGTTTCTTTCAAGGATGAGCAAGGCAAGAGCTGGTCCATGCAATTTGAAAGTTCCAATCAGGCAATTGAATTCTGTTCCCATGTTGGCGTGGCAATGCACGGTGCGTCAGGTCATCCTGATCAAAGTATTCTTGCATGTGACGTTGCTATTGGAAAATGTGATCGTACTGTGTTTGCCAATGATACGGTAAAGGTGCGCTATCAAAGTTGGGTAGTTCAATGTGAAACTCAAGGGAAAGGACTTCCTATTCTTGGAAGTAAGTTAGACGGCAACTTGCAGGATGATAAGCCGTGTACTTTAACTATTCCCGCAAATCATATGAGTGTGACTCCTGAGATGAAAGGGTTTGAAGGGATGATTATAGGAATGGGAGAAGAAGGATCCCGTGTGATCATCATTCCCGCTCGAGCAAAACGCGGCGCTGGACCTCATGTGCACATGTGTTTTTACACCTATTTGGTAAAGAAAAAAGCTCTATCCCATGTGGCAGAAAACAGTGGCTCTCGCGCAATAACCTTGGGCAAGCATTCAGCTCTTCAGTCAAACGAGGAAGATAAATTGTTATTATCAAACCCCCAAGATTATGCGATTACACGCCCAAAATCTCCACCGCCAGGATTCAATAGAGAGCAGTTAGTGGTTATGGATCGAATGCGTGACCAAGTTGAGGTGCTTTTTCAACAGTTACAGGAGGCGCGACGACAGCTGGATGTCTTGTTGAATGACGTACGGAAATTTGATCGAAAAACAAAGCCTCAGAGTTTAGCAAGTGCGCAGTTGGAATACTCTATTCAAAAGCTTTTGGCCGATACAGAAGAAGGAAAAGAATTACTCTCTCAAAAGGAGTTAACGCTGAGACAAATGGAAGCAAAAAATAAAGAATTGCAGAATAAGCTAGACAAGTTTAGTAAAACCGCTAATTTACTTGCAGAGGAGAAGAAAAGTACGATTAGCTCCTCGAACGAGGAAAAGTTGGATATGGATCGAAGAATAGCTCAATGCCAGACACAGCTGACACGTTTGCAGTCAGAGCGAGAGGATGTTGCCCGCCATCTTTCAACCGTAAAGCGGCTTCTCCAAGTTGCTGACCAGGATATCAAAACTGAAAAGCAGAACCTCCAGGTGGCAATGGTTGCATTTCAAACAAATGAGTCGAAGCTTTCAGCTGTGGAGGAAACATATGCAGAGGAACAGGCCAGGCGAAAGCTTCTCGAGGCTAAGTCCATTGCGCTCGGGGATCAGCTTCGCTCCCTGTTGGAGGAATTGCGTGTGAAGGAAGGGCAGATGGAGGAGTGGCGAAAGAAAATTGAATGTGACAAGCTACATTACATGCAGTTAATTGAGGATGAACGCAGTAAAGCGGCCGAGGATATGCGCGAGTTAAGACAGGAGTTTATTGATGAATTGGCTGCACGTGACAGACGTTACCAAGAGGAACGTCAAACTGTTGCACATGAATCTTTTGATAGGGGCCGTTTTCAAGGCATAGAGGACGGACAGACTGAGGCGTTGCTTGAAGCGGATGCAGCTACGCAGGGCTGTGCTCTTACCGTCCAGCGTCACAAAGCCGAAGTGAATGCCATACGTGTTCGTTTAAGGAGCGCAAAGGAAGAAAATGAAGCTGACATTTCTCGATTGACATCTCAAGCTTCAGCGATTCACGGGGCACTTTATGATCTAATAGGGGAAAACTCACAGATGGAAACAGAGCTAGACTCTTTAAGCAGTGCAAAGCAGTCTGTCGAAGATGAGGCTTTTCAAGAACTCAAGGATGCAATTGGACAACTATCCCTTCCTGTGGGAAGGCAAGATCTCCTTGCAGTGCTACACTCCTTGCGGGTCAAGAAGGAGATTAGCTATGCTTTCGAGGCACAACGAGACGAAGAACGACAAAGGATTCTTAATGAGGAACAGAAAGAGGTTAACGAATGGGTTTGTGGCGCGGTGGATGGGACTTTTGTGGCGTGTCCTCGCATGCGCACACCGCGTGTGACTGAGCCACCTGCCCCGTACGTGCCCGATGTTTCTTTCTTGAATGCAACAGATCCATCCCACGAAATTGTTGATTCAAAACTTCAAGATGAAATCAATCAGCGGGAGGCTCTATTGCAGTTTAATCCGGATGAAATGGATCGTCGTTATCGAGAGCTGTTGTCGGAGCTGACGTGTATGAATCCCGTTCTAGACTTGGCCGCCCGAAATAGTCCCCTGAAGGCTCAGAATGATGTCGCGGCAGCAAACGGCTTGCCTGCGACTGAGGCCAAAGAGGTCGTTGCAGAGGAGGCTGACACGTCAGCATCTGCAGAACGGGCGAAAGGCTCTCCAAAATCACAGCAACAAGTAGGCCAAGAAGAGTCCGCATCATCACAGCAGGCGTCACTGCAGAGTGGGTTGCAGCCGTTTCATTTTACGCAACAACGAGAAGAAGTCGAGCGTGTGCCCTTTGTGAAAACTGATACCGCTCCAGAAGAAGTGCGCGCGCCAGCACCTGCCCTTTCTCTGGAGGAAGAAAAGGGTGGGTCCCTCACCGTGTCCTCTGAGAAGTTCGTGCCGAACCAACGGGTCAAAGGCTCCGAAGAACAGATGGCACCTCCACGAAATCGAGGGTTGCCCCCTCGAATTAGGAGACCCACTTTCAGTGGCTCGGATTTTGACTCTGATCCTCCGGTGGTTTTCAGAGGGTCTGCAATGCCCAGCTCAAGGAGCGTGGCTCCTCCAAAGAGGTCCTTGTTTGACGATACTGATTCTTCGGAGGGTCCAATGACCTAGCCTTGTACCATAGTTGGCGCACGAACTGTTCAGCTCTTCCCCATTCTATTGCTGTTTCTGGGCATGAGTGTGTGTGTGTGCGCGCCTGTGTGTTTGTGTATGCTTGTTTGTGATGGCCTCGAAGACTCGAGGCCAAGGATAGATACAGGCGGAATTCTTCTCTCTTCCCGCTGCTTATCAACACATTCGGGGTTGTCGGGGCTCTTTCATTCTCCAATTGACTTATTTTTGCTTTTTAGTTTTTTTTATTTTTTGAGGGGGGTAGGTTTTGTCTTTTTTTTATTGACATATTATTGTTATTGTTATTATTATTATTATTATTGTTTTATTTTATTTTATTTACTTTTTTTTTGCTCGGTGTCTGTCTCTCTTCTTCTTGCGTCACGTTGACACTTTGCTCTACCTGCGCGTTTTTAAATCCATCTCGCCTTGATGCAGTATTTAGAGAGTCATGACTACGAAGCGCCGTAACCACGGCCGGGCCAAGCCGCCCTGCTCTCGAGGCCGCACGAAGCCGTTACACTGCTTCAACTGCGGCCGGCTGACTCCGAAGGACAAGGCCATCGGGCGCTTCATAGTGCGCAGACTGTTGGACCAGGCATCAGCGCGTGACGTGGCTGAAGCGTCTCCGGTGTACAGTGCTGGTTTCCCCATGCCAAAAATGTACATGAAGCAGCGCTTTTGCATTGCGTGCGCAATTCACAAGCGTGTTGTGCGTGCCCGTCCCACAGAAAACCGCAAGCGTCGCTTCGTCACGAAGGTTGCATTTCGCCCCACCGCTGGTAAGTAGTTTCTGACCCTTTCAAAATACAGTCCTGGGTGCTTTCTTAGGTTCTCAAACTCTTTTTACTTTAGTGCTTTTGTTTGTTTGTCTGTTTTCGCGGTCCTTCCAAGCGCTTCTATGCGTCTTTGGGGGGTGAAGGGCGGGGCAATCCTCCTGACCCAAACGACGCGGGACCCATTTTTTTATTCAGCTACCGGTGCACCTTATACACTTCCTTTTTTCCCCCTTTTTTTTTTCCTATCTTTACTGTCTTCATTGCCCGTTTTGGTACCGCTGGTGCAGCTTTCTTGCATACAGATATTTCTACAAAGACTTTACCGTGCCACGAAGCGATGTTTCGCAAGGCAATCCCTCTGGCGTGTAGTGCGGCGAAAGTTCCATGGAGTGAATTAACTAATGCCGAACTTGTGGATGCTGTGAATTCCCGCAAAATTCATTTTTACGGTCTCGAACAGGCATTGCAGCCGAATTACAAGCGTGCCATTGAGGTGCGTCGTGAGGTGGTCTCCAGAGTTGCGTTCCAGCAGCCAGACGGTGAGAAGAAGGAGAGTGCCCTGCATAGTATTCCTTTTGAGAATTATGACTGGGACCGGGTTGTCGGTCATAATTGCGAAAATATTATTGGATACGTGCCAATTCCACTTGGTATTGCCGGGCCTATTCTCATGGACGGTAAAGAGTATCCTATCCCTATGGCCACAACGGAGGGGGCGCTTGTGGCCAGCACCCATCGTGGCGCCCGATCGATAACAAAATCCGGTGGGTGCAATACGCTCGTGTTGGGTGAGGGCATGACAAGGGCCCCTGTGGTGGAACTTCCATCTCTGGTGGAGGCGGGAAGGCTTCACAAGTACTGCAACGAAAATTTCTCCACATTAAAAGAGGCTTTTGAGTCCACAACGCGGTTTGGGAAGCTGAATTCACTGAAGTGCGTGTTGGCAGGACGAAAGGCGTACCTCCGCTTCCGCGCGACCACGGGCGATGCAATGGGAATGAACATGATTACAAAGGGCGTCGATAGAGCCATGTCGTTGCTGCAGCAGCAGTTCCCTTCAATGAGGGTTATCGCCTTATCGGGCAATTATTGCACTGACAAGAAGCCATCCGCGGTAAACTGGATTGAAGGACGTGGAAAGTCGGTCGTCGCGGAGGCCACCGTGCTCGCCGACGTCGTTGAAGAAACCCTAAAGTGCACAGTTGACAGCCTTGTATCACTCAATGTTGATAAGAATCTGGTTGGCTCAGCCATGGCGGGGTCTGTTGGTGGATTCAACGCCCAAGCTGCGAATGCCGTTGCTGCCATTTTCCTTGCCACTGGACAAGACCCAGCGCAGGTGGTGGAGTCGTCCACGTGCCTTACAAGCATGTCAAAGGTGGGCAATGATCTTCTCATCACAGTGACAATGCCAAGCATTGAGGTCGGTACAGTTGGGGGTGGCACAGGACTGGTGGCGCAGCGAGGCTGCCTAGAGTTAATGGGCTGTGGCGGTTCGAGCAAGGAAACGCCGGGTGAAAATGCACGGTTGCTCTCGCGTGTCGTCGCCGCAGGTGTACTGGCAGCTGAGCTTTCCCTCATGTCCGGCTTGGCTGCGGGTCATCTCCTTGGCGCCCACATGCGCCTGAATCGTAAGCAGATCTGAGCCGAAAGAAGCATCAACAACAAGAAAAAAAAACCGTGCTGGTCCACCTCTGCCCAGTGAAAGATAATAATACCTAAAAAAAATAAAAAAAAAAAAGATAACAAGTCTGTGCGAATGACGCACTGGAAGGGAGGTTAATGGGCTATGAGGGTAAAAAATTAAACAG